TAACGCAAGTGATACATTAGGACTTCTCACCAGAAAAAAACAGTATCTTAAAAACTTCTCTACTCTCTAAATAGCCCTTCGAAGACAATGCAGCTCCCATTTGCCGTGAGTAAAATCACTGTTTGCTTCGATGAAGTCAACAGGATACAAACCACATCTTGACATCACAGGGAGTGTACAGAGGCTGGTTTCTGTTCCAGTTTCCCTTCCTTGCTCAGTCCAATGGTCAGCGTTTCCAGACAGCCTCCGCTTGTATCCTCCACTTCCTCAGCCTTGAGTCAACCTGAATCTCCCCCTCAAGTCAAAATTTCTTTTCAAATTTCATTCCTAGGTTGCAGAGACATATTTAATGAGGTAACACATCTGGTCTTCTATAATCCCATGCAATTTAACTTCCTCCCTATATTAATTGTAAATTTTTCTCATAAGAGGTCTCCTTTAATACTCCCACACCTTACACACCCTGCAGCAGAGAGAGGCAAGAACATGAGATTTGGAGTCGGAAAGGGTTTGGAGTCAGGGACTGAATATCTTTGTGGCTCTGAGTTAGGCACCTACTCCTCTGGATCTCAGTTTCTTTATTATTTTTTAAAATATTTCCAGTGTTTATTTTTGAGAGAGAGAGAAAGACAGAGCATGAGTGGTGGAGGGACAGAGAGAGAGGGAGACACAGAATCGGAAGCAGGCTCCAGGCTCCGAGCTGCCAGCACAGAGCCCTACACGGGGCTCGAACTCATGAGCCGTGAGATCATGACCTGAATCGAAGTCGGACACTCAACCGACTGAGCCACCCGGGCGCCCCTCAGTTTCCTCATTTTCACAGTGGGAGTGTGGTCGAAAAAACCAACCTCTGCTCCGGAGCTGAAATATGTACCGTGAAAACAGAGTTTGGGGGTAAAGAAGGAAGATGGCTTTATTACTTTGCCAGGCACAGAAGGCTACGGCTGGCTAATACTTCCAGAAGTATAAGACAGCCAAGGGTAAAAGGCTGAGGGGTTTTACAGGAAAATACAGGATCTGGATGGTTTCCATAGGAATCTGGAACACGCTCCCAGCCGTGCTTGTCACATCTTCAAGGTGGTCTCATGACTAGAATTGCCACCGGCGATCAGAGTCTCAGTTACTAAGTATACATTGAGGTCAGTGAGATGTCAATATCGATACCGAGTTCCTGGAACAAAGGTTTCTACAGAAAAACAAGTGAAGGTGGCCGAGGCAGGGTGTTGGTGGGCGGGGGGAGGCTTCTGAGAATGAGGAAGAGAAAAATGTGTTCAGTTTAAAGTCAAGCCTCATGGACCATCCATCTTTACATTTCTATAGTGGTTTTGGCAACGAGGATTTTGCTGTGTCTGATGTTAGGGGGACTGGATTTTTTAATCTCAAAGTGGACTTTTTCATTTGTAAAGAACATAACTGGCCCTGCAGTTTTATTTTGTCTTATTCTTCCTTCTCCCCCTCTTTCTTTTCTTTCCACAATGTTCTTTGTTTTATGGTTTCTTGTTCTTTTACTCTTTGAATGGCCCTGCATACTTCCTTAAAAATCTCCTTCAGATTGCTCTGTTATCTGTAATTTGGGAGGCACAATTTCATTAAAGAAAAAAACAAATTGGTGACTGTCCCTTTTGATGAACTGTTTTTGGTGCAGTTTATAGTTTTTTGATTTTAAGCCTCTCTTCAGTGAAGAATGTTTTCTTGGGTGCCCCACCTGGCCTCGATTGGAGTAGCCTGGAGTTTTGTTACTCAAAGATCAGCCTCTCCTCTGATCAAGGATCGTGTTCAGTAATTGTCTCTTTCCGTTCATGCATTGCAAATCTGCCCTCCCTGCTAGATCGTTCCACTCAGCACAGAAACATGCTGTACTCGCTCCTAATTTGTCTCATTTTGATATTTCCCTTTATAGCAGAACTTCGGGAATGACTTGTCTATATTTGTCGCTCCAATTTTTCTCTATTGAAGAGCTCCATTCAGGCTTTCTCCACTCTCAGCTACTTTTTTTTTTTTTTTAATGTTTTATTTATTTCTAGGAGAGAGAGAGAGAGACAGCGTGAGCAGGGGAGGGTCAGAAAGAGAGGGAGTCACAGACTCTGAAACAGGCTCCAGGCTCTGAGCTGGCAGTCAGCACAGAGCCCGACGCGGGGCTTGAACCCACGAATCGCGAGATCATGACCTAAGTGAAAGTCGGACGCTTAACCAACTAAGCCACCCGGGCGCCCCCACTCTCAGCTACTCTTGTTAAGGTCACCAATGATTCCACTGCTGCTAAAACTCATGGTCAATTCTCAATCCTCATCATACCTTTGATCACTAGCTTTTGACCCAGTTGACTCCTGCCTCCTGTTTGAGTATTTTGTACACTGGGCTCCGGGATATCGCTCTTTGTTTGCTTCCTACCTCAATGCGCCTTGATCTCTTTCTCCTGTAAGGGATCCTTCTTATCTAATATGTTAGGTGTGTCCCAGGACTCACTCCTCACAAATCTTCTCTTACTTTCACTTATTGTCTCAGGATTTGGGGCATTTATTATTTCTTGGGAAGCTCTTCCAGATATCTACAGGCTTTGCTCCTTCACTTAAGGTCTGGGTTCTGGGTCCTTTTATCACTTAGCTCTTCACTGACCATCTTATTAAATTACACCCCATCCTGGGTGGCTCAGTCAGTTGAATGTCCTACTTTGGCTCAGGTCATGATCTTGCTGTTTGTGGGTTCAAGCCCCGCGTCAGACTCTGTGCTGACAGCTCAGAGCCTGGAGCCTGCTTCAGATTCTGTGTCTCCCTCTCTCTCTGTCTGGTTCCCCCCCCCCCATTCTCTCTCTCTCTCTTTCAAAAATAAACATTAAAGAAAAGACATTTAGTTCATAGCAGCACTCTCAACAATAGCCAAAACATGGAAAGAGCCTAAGTGTCCATCAACGGATGAATGAATCAAGAAGATGTGGTTTATCTATACCATGGAATACTACATGGCAAAGAGAAAAAATGAAATCTGGCCAAGTGTAGCAACATGGATGGAACTTGAGGGTGTTATACTGAGCGAAATAAGTCAGGCAGAGAAGGACAAATACCATATTTTTGCACGTATAGGAGGATTAGGAGGAACTTAACGGAGGACCATGGGGGAGAAGAAGGGGGGAAATGGTGGGGGACAGGGAGAGAGGCAAACCATGAGAGACTCTTGAATGCTGAGAACTGAGGACTGATGGGTGTGGGGGGGGAGGGGGGAGATGGACATGGATAAGGGCACTTGTGGGGATGAGCACCGGGTGTTTTATGGAAACCAACTTGACAATAAACTATTTGTAAAAAAAAAAAAATAAACAAATAAACATTAAAAATAGAAAACAAAGACATTTAAATTATACTCCATCCCTAACACTGTTCATCCCATTCACCTCAATTTAATTTTCTCCACACGTATCATTACCCAACATACTTATTACGGCTCGCGTATCTATTGTCCAGCTTCTTCACAAAATAAAGTCCTCTGAGGGAAGGAACTCTATCTGTTCAGTTCACTGTTGTATAGCCAGCTGTCAGGACAATGCCTCTGTAGGAGACATCTGATAAATATTGATTGATTGAGAGAGTGAGTAAATGAATGGAAAGATGATACCTTTCCATTATTTCCTGAACTGAGGTATAGATCTTACAAATTTTAAAATAGATTTTTTAGTTTTTCAGTCTCTTCAGAAAGAAGGGAAATTTTATGCTTCACCTCAAGGTGCCAATTTATAAAGACATTATTAAACTATCAAGTGTCACCTCTATGTCTGGCATCATCTATCCGGTTAGAGTTCTCACTCTGAGCTCCATGGGTTCTGAGGATGGACTACAGAGCTCTGTGAACTCCCTAAATTTGTGTGGTACACGTTGTATGTAGATGTATGCATTTTCCTTGGGAAAAGAGGTATGGCTTCCACCAGATTCACGAAATATCTGTGGCCTAATTAAAGGGGTTTGAATTATTGTTATCTTCCTTGGGTATTGATCAGCTAAGAGCTACTATGCTGAAGATAAAAACTCATCACCTTCCTTTCCAAACCAGCTTGTCTCTTGACTTTCTTAGAAGCAAAGCCCTTGGTGTCCGAAGAAACAGCCACTGCAGACATCCCTTCAAAATGTCCCCGATAAATTGCTATCCTGCTGTTCAGGAACTGCTAAAGTAGCACTGTCCTGCTTCAGGAACTCATCAGCTAGCACTGTTATACAAGTCGACTTTAGAAATTTCCACTTAGGTTAAGCTGAAATGGTTTTCACACCCTGGGTCTCGTTCTGGCCGTGGGGCCAGGAAGAACATATTAAAACTCCCCTTTCCTCTGATCAGTTTTTCAGATATGTGAAGATAGCATGGGTCACACCTTCGCCCTCTTCCAAAGCCTTTTTTCTCCGGAGAGGTGTCCAGGGCACGTCACCACACTGCAACTCTGTTTCCGAACGCTCCGCAGTGTTGCCAACTGCCCAAGACTGAACGCACATAGGATACACACAGGAACCCCAGGTTTGGATACTTCTATCAACGCAAACTAGGGTCACAAAACGACCGTTGTGGCCGAGTGCAGGAAGGGTGTGGACGAGACAGCCGGGGAATGGAGAGAGGGCGAGGTGTCTCAGCGACGGGGCAAAAATCATGGCCGTTCGGTGATGAGTTTGGGGGAGGCAGAGCGAAGGAGGCAGGACACAGGGGACGCGAAGGCCGGGAGACAGGATAGCAACGCACCGAATGCCAACACAGGGCAGTGGAAAGAGAGAGCCCAGAAGGGCAGAGTTGGGGAGAGGAGGAGCAGCTGGACCGAGGAGGTGGGGGCGGGGCAAACCCAGGGCAGCAGGGAGGCCCCGTGGGAGAACCTGGGAAACGGGCAGAGTCCCAAAGGTGTAGGGCTGGGCACAGGCTACGCGGCACACACGGGAATTATCTTGGCAGACCGTCGCCGCCTCGGCCCAGAGGAGGGGTTCGTTAAAAAGCCTGTCAGGCGACACGCGAAGTGACGGACGCTCCAAGGAGGAATGAATGACCCTTGCCGCCCCCTGCGGGCAACCGCGAGCGGCCAGGGCGCCAGGGCGACGCGGGAGGGGCGGGGCGACGCGGACGGCCAATCGGAGCCCGCGGCCCAGCTCCGGCCCCGCCCCGCCGCGCCGGCGCCGGCGGCGCGCGCAGCCGCCCGCCTCCCGGAAGTGCGCCCGGAGCCGGCGTCGCGGGCCGAGGTGAGCGCGCGGGCTGGGCGGGCCCGGCCGCCGCCGCCCGGGGTCGGGCGTGGCGTCGCCCGCGTCCGCGCGGGGTTCGGTGGGGCCCCCAGCGGCGACGGCGGGGGCGGCGGACGTGCGCCCGGAGGGCTCGGGGGTAGTGGGGACGCCGCTGCCCGGCGCTGGCTCTGCGCTCCGGAGCCTGCGTACCCCGCCGGATCCCGGGCCGCGCCCCTCGACTGGCCGCTAAACCGGGCTGCTTCCGGTGCCTGCCCAGAGGCTGGAAGACAGGGGCCCCGCGTGGGCTGAACCCCAGAGCCTCCCTTCCCGGGGTGCTATGGGTGCTGGGGGGCCCGAAGTCGAGGATACCTGGGTGGGGAGCGCTGCCCGGGGCCTCCGGGACGCAGAATGCCCGCGTCACTCCCCTAACTCGCCAGCCGTTTGTCCCAGCCCCCAACCAAACCCGCCCCCCGACATCCCCCAACCAACGTTGGGGGCTCCCCTCCCCGGAGCACAGGCCTCGCGTGGAGCTTTCTGGGTTCCATTTCGGCCACCTGAGCATCAGCGGTTGCTAATCGGTCAAGATTAGAAACGGCAGGAACAGGGCCTAATAAGGAGCTGATGCGTAGCTGTTGGAGACAAAATCACTCCTACGGCTCCTTGAAGACCGTAAGGCAGACTTTCTTTAGGGGCCCGACCACATCGGGGTTTTGCAGGCGCAGAGAGAAAATTGGGCTGGGTTCTGAATGCTGCAGGAACCAGGGGGGAAGTAGATAGCCAGGGAGCTCGGCGGGGAGGATCGGTGGATGGAAAATTACTAAGGAAACATCTCGGCTAAAGGGAACGGGCCCACCTCACTGCCCTGGAGTTTTGCCCAAGGCAGGCCAGAGTGATAAGGACTTTGACCGGGTATCAGGGATGGTCAGATACACAACGTTAGGATGGAGAATTTGACCGGGTCTCAAAGATGAGGGCTTTTCCCTGAACTGGACTCAGCAAGATTCTTGCTGAAACGGGACTAAAAAAGGGTCAAGGGCAGAGCTGAAAGGTCAGGCCAAGTCACAAAGGGGACTTGGGAGTTTGAGTAGATTTTGCTTAAGGAGAGTCTTTGTCAGTTCAATAGTAGGTACCCAACAACGGACTACTTGTATGTATGTGCATAGTAAGCATGCTTACCTAAGAGTATGTATATTTTTAAATTTTTTAATGTTTATTTTTGAAAGAGGGAGAGAGAGCGTGAACAGGGGAGGGGCAGAGAGAGAAGAGTGTGAGCGAGAGCAGAGGAGGGGCAGAGAGAGAGGGAGACACAGAATCTGAAACAGGCTCCAGGCTCTGAGCTGTCAGCACAGAGCCCGTCGGCGGGGCTCAAACTCACAAACCAGAGATCATGACCTGAGAGGAAGTCAGATGCTTAACCTGCTGAGCCACCCAGGTGCCCCTTTAAGAGTATATTTTAAGTTCATTCTCATTTGTTAGAATTTTGATCAGAACTACACATCTGGGATTACTTGAAATGTTTTTAGGTCCTCATGAACGCATTGGGATCTAAACTACACCCTCTTTAACATAATTTAATTTGGACTAATTGAGACATTTTTCTTAGCATTTTGTTAGGATATAATTACTAAAATCAGGCTTAGGTATAAGATTTATAATTTTCCCTAAATGTCATTTTCCCAAAATATAATCTAAACTTTTACTCTTAATTCAGGAAGGAAATAAATCTGAATAAATATGCCCATCAGTCTCTTGCTTTCTGAAATCTTTTTACTTGTTATTTAAAACTCAGGAGCCAAACCGATTTAGATAATGAAGGGTGCTTATTTATTCAATTTTGTGACATGTTTATTTAAAACCACACATTTTTCCTCTAGAGCTTTGGTGGTTTTCTATAAGTTTCGGTATGTTGTGTTTTCACTATCAATATGAAAACATTTTAATTTCCATTGTCATTCTTTAGCCATAGGTTAAGAGTTTTGTTTTTTAATTTCTATATAGTGACATTCTCAAGCTATTGTTACTGAGTTCTAATTTCACTGTAGTATGGTCTGAGCATATACCCTTTGAGATTCCAGTCTTTTGAAGCTTAATCATGCCTATGGTCTGCTTCGGGGAATGATTCATATACACTTGAAATGAATGTGTAGCCTGTAGTGGTTGGGTCTGAACGTTAATTAGATCAAGTTGGTGAGTTGGTTTACAGTGTTCAGATTTTCTGTATCCTTCTGATTTTTTGTTTTTGTTTACTCCTTCGATCAGCTATGAGGATCTGTCCTTACAGAGCTGGTATTAGGTGCATATATGTTCAGGGTTGTTTTGTGTTGTAAATGAAGAGACCCCTTTATCATAATTGAATGTTCCTCTTCTTTTTGTCTTGAAGTCTCTTGGTCAGATAATAATATAAGTGTACTATTTTTTGTATGCTTGCTGTTTGCATACGATTTCTTTTCCTAATTATTTTATTTCCAAACTCTCTGTGTCTTTATGTATAAAATATCTCTTGTAGATTGGGTCTTGCATTTCTAAATTTGACAGTTTTTATCTTATAGTTCAAATGTTTCGTCCATTTACATTTAATGTAATTACTGATATGGTTGGGTGTTAGTCTACCAGTTGTCTGTTTTTCCCCATTAGATCTTTCTGGTTTTTATTCTTCTCTTGATCTTTTCTTATCGCATTTTGGGATAGTGTATGTTTTTTGGGACTCCTTTATTGGGTTTTTTTAGCTATACTTCTTTGTATAATATTTTTACATCTAGCTGTATGCATTTTTAAATTATCAAAGTTTACTTTAGCTTATTGGGATCCCTTTTAATATTTATACCACTTTATATCACAATTTACGTTTATTTCTTGCCTCTCATTTAACACCTTTGCATTTCCCATTTGTCACCTGACACTTAGCACCACTCACTTCCCACTTCATATCCTTTTTTATCAGTTCATAAATACAATAACCTCACAACAGATTAATTCCTTATGCCCACTCCTTGTGCTACATTTATGTCATTTACTTCTACTTACGTCCTATTTACACTGTTATTTTCTATTTAATAGTTGCTTTTTAAGGAGGTTAAAAATAAAGGCATAGTATTTCTGTATTTATTCAGTATATGTTTACCATTTTTAGAGATCTTCATTCCTTTCTGTAGATCTGAGTTTCCCTTCAACTGGAAAGGTGTCCTTTAGCATTTCTTATGTATAAATCACTGGAGAAAAAAACTCCTAGCTTATTTATTTGAAAAATGTCTTTTTATTTTTTTATTAAAGTATAATCAGCATAAAATGTTATGTTAGTTTCAGGTGTATAGCATATTCATTTGGCAATTCTCTACATTACGCAGTGCCCGCCACAGTAAGTGTAGTTACCATACAACATTATTATAATACTGTTAACTATACTCTGTAGGCTGTATTTTTCATCTCAGTTATTTGTTTGTAACTGGAACTTTGTATCATTTTTTTAAGTTTATTTATTTTGAGAGAGAGAGAGAGAGAGACATGGCAGAAGTAGGGAAGAGGGACAGAGGGGAAGAGAGGGAATCTTAAACTGGCCCCATGCTCAGTGCAGATCCCGACGTGAGGCTCAATGCCACCACGCTGGCATCATGAGTTGAGCCCAGATCAACTGACTAACCCGCCCAGGCGCCCCCAGAAGTTTGTAGCTCTTAATCCCTTTTATCTGTTTAGTTTATAATCCCTGCCTACCTCCTGTTTGCAATGATCAGTTTGTTCTCTGTATTTAAGAGTCTGGTTTTTGTTGTTTGCTCATTTGTTTTTTTCCATATTCTACAAATAAGTGAAATCATATGGTGTCTATTTCTGTCAACTTATTGTACTTAGGTAGTGCCCTCCAGGCCCAACAGTGTTGTTGCAAGTGGCAAGATCTCATTCTTTTTTTATGGCTGAGTAGTGTTCCATTGTGTATATATACTACATCTTTATCCATTCTTCTATCTATCCATGGACACTTGGGTTTGCTTCCATATCTTGGCTATTGTAAATGCTGCAGTAAACAGAGGGGTGCATATATCTTTTCAAATTAGTGTTTTTGTTTTCTTTGTGTAAATACCAGTAGTGGAATTACTGGATCATGTGGTGTTTCTATTTTTTAATTTTTCCACAATGGTTGCACTCCCACCAATGGTGTACAGGGTCTCTTTGCCATCCTCGCCAACACGTGTTATTTCTTGTCTTTTTAATATTAGCCTTTCTGACTGGTGCGAGGTGACACCTCATTGTGTTTTTCATTTGTATTTTCTTGATGATTCGTGATACCGAGTATCTCTTCATGTTTCTGTTGGCCTTCTCTATGTCTTTGGGAGAATGTTTAGGTCCTGTGATCATTTTTTAATTGGATTTTTTTTTGGGGGGGGTGTTGAGTAGTAGAAGTTCTTTATATACTTTGGATATCAACCCCTTATTGGTTGATTGGTTGAGTAGTAGAAGTTCTTTACATACTTTGGATATCAACCCCTTATTGGTTGATTGGTTGAGTAGTAGAAGTTCTTTATATACTTCGGATATCGACCCCTAAACTTTTTTGTTGATGGTTTCTTCTATTGCGCAAAAGCTTTTTATTTTGGTGTCGTCCCAATGGTTTATTTTTCCTTTTGTCTCCCTTGCCTGAGGAGACATATCTAAAAATATGTTGCTAAGGATGATGTCCAAGAGATTACCGCCTGTGTTTCCCTTAGGAGTTTTATAGTTTCAGTCTCGCGTTTAGGTCTCTAATCTATTTTCAGTTAATTTTTTGTATGGTGTAAGAAAGCGGTCCAGTGTCATTCTTTTGAACGTAGCTGTTCCATTTCTCAGCACCGTTAATTGAGAAGATTGCCTTTTTCCCATTGTATATTCTTGCCTCTTTTGTAGTAGGTTAATTGAGCACACGGATGTGGGTTTTTTTCCAGACTCTCTATCCTGTTCCGTTGATCTGTGTGTCTGTTGCTGTGCCAGTTCCCTGCTGTTTGGATTGTTCTAGCTTTGTCATATATCTTGAAATCCTGGGATAAGACATACTT